ATTGTGTAAATTCAAGGAAATGAACAACACCTTTTCTGAATAACTAACTGGTCTGCCATGTATCTGACTCCTCAGATCTTCTCAAAAAAAAAAAAAGTGTTTTAGTGATCCTGCCTGAGAATGCACCAGAAGGAAATAATTTTTTGGATTCAATATAGCAACCTAAAAATTCCAAATAGCTTTCTCTTATGATACCAATGAGTCCTCATTTATGCCTACCAATTAGCATAGGTTTGGGGTACGGTGTTGGAGCCCCTCCACTATACATTGCTGCTAACTGGCTAGCCCTCTCACCATGCACAGATTTGCTCCAGGGCACTGGGTCCTCCCTGCTAGAAAAAGTGGCATTTGCCAGGTAATGATGGTAGCATGTGGAAATGCACAAGACCAGCTCTTCCACTGCCAAGTGAATTCACTCTAGATGTAACTGATGCTCTGTAGAAACCAGGCTACACCAGCACTCTTTACTCCCCACCTGCCTGCCGGGCCCACCCTTGACTGGCTTTCCCTGAAAGCAGTTCCTTACACCCTTACATCTGAAATCTGGCTGAGACAACCTCATTGAGTTAAATAGTAGTGTAAACAAGGAAGAAAGGTTGATAGGCCATTGTAGTCATGGTGTCAAAAGACTCCTGTTTGCAGCCTTGCTGCACTCTTAGCAAGGTTGATTCTAAGGCAAAACCTCCCCCCTCCCTATCTCTAGGATGAAAATGATAATGCCCACTCTACCTTCTATGTGATTGTTGGGAGAATCAGATGAAATTATAAACAACACAAATGTTTGGAACCAGTCAAACATCATACAAATATAAACAAACCACTTTTATGCTAAAACATTTATTTTTTTATTTTATGTGTATGGGTGTTTTGCCTGCATACATGTCTGTGTACCACATGCATTTCCAGTGCCTGAGGAAGCCAAAAGAAGTCATTGGAACCAGAGTAACAAACGATTGAGAGCTACGGTGTGTGCTAGGAATTGAACCTGGGTCCTTGGCAGGAACAGTAGTACTCTTAACCATTGAATCATCTCTTCAGCCTGACTCAAATTTTAACCTGAACCTCAGATAACCTATAGCTTTACAGAGTAAACTATTGAAAGATTCCAAAGCATCCCTTACTTCTTGGTTTCCATCCAGCACTGCCCTCCTCACATTCTTCCAGCATCTCTCTCCTGAGTGCTGGCTACTATTTCTAACAGTCCACCTGGGCACCAAGAGTAATTAGAAAATGCTTCATTTGCTTCTTTCATTTTAATTTTAATTACTTAGTTTCCCACCTACATGAAGAACTTCCCTGCCTACTGCCACCTTCAAGTATCTACCACTTAATTCCTGAATAATGCTTTTATATTTTTATTAACTGCTTATTCTTTCAAGTCAACCCATATTGGGTCTTAAATTTGAAGAAAGGAAATAGACATATCTCGAGCAGCATCTATTAGAGCTCCAGCCTTGTGCTTCAAGTGAACTGATGGCACACGACAGATGTAATGGGAGGCATGGCCCAGATGGCAGCTTGATTAGAAACATCTCAATATGTCCAAAAGATCATGGCACACACGCAAGGTTATTCTTCTCCATGAAGCCTTTGTAAAATTCATGATAAGACTCTACATTTAATAAGGGTCTCTCATTAGGAAGCTCAGCACGACAATTTGAAAACATGGGGTCAGGAAAGTTTAGTACAATAAGTGTTTGTCAAAGAGGCACAAGACATAAAAGGAAGAATAGCACATCATCCCTGGTGGAGGAAGCATATGCAAAAAACTGTTTATTACACTAGAATTTGAAATACCCAGCATGTTAGCATCCACCTTATGCTGTCTGGGATTCATAAAGATATTTTCTCTTTAAACATGTCATTAATTAATATTTTTAGAAAGTACTTCAAAATTTCTTTAACTCTCCTTGAGTGTTCTATCCTCACATTTTGTTTGATGTCTACTTATCCTTGATTCAGCACAGTAGTCCCCTTTATCCTAGACTCCCTCCAATAAGATGCCTGAAACCTAGAGTAGTACTGAAAACTATTAACAGGTGGGTACCACCTACAGAGTGGATACACCACGCAAAAACATGGTCACTTCCAGGCAAATGGAGAACTATTGATAACAGTATTTAAAACATTTTTATGAGCTGCTCATTTCTAGAGTTTTTCTGCTGAAATATTTCCAGACCATGGTTAGTCATGGGTAATTGGAACAATGGGAAAATGAAGCATAGTGGCCAAGGGAAGACTAATATATTCTGTTCATGGACAACTCTACTACTGTGTTCCTAATTCTCTCAGGTAATATTCTAGATATTGAGAAGTGGACAGAGCCAGTTTCAGCTGTCTGGTTATAAAGTTTGCATTCTAGTGGGACAAAAAAACTTTATTGGGGAGCTACTGGGAGTTAGTTGATAGTTCCTGAGGTGAGAGAGTCAGTGATGTGGTCACTTGTAAGATTCCCATGCTGCAGTGTATGGCCCCACATGTGTGCACACAAGGCAGCACTAACTGGACTTAGTGGGTTATTAAGAAAGCAAAAAGTTAAGGGGGCAGTGGCACGAACCTTTAATCCTAGCACTTGGGAGACAGAGCCAGGCAGACCTCTGTGAGTTCAAAGACATCCTGGTCTACAAAGTGAGCTCCAGAACAACAAAGGCTACACAGAGAAACTCTGTTTCAAAAAACCAAAAAGAAATAAGAAAAAAGAAGGAAGGAAGGAAGGAAGGAAGGAAGGAAGGAAGGAAGGAAGGAAGGAAGGAAGGAAGGGACAAAGTTTGATGGCAGAAATGGAGGTGAATTTGATCATATTTCATCCTATGCATGTATGAAAGTTTCAACAATAAAGAAAAAAATTTTAAAATAAAAATAAAACAAAAACAGACCATTGAGGATGGGAAAGTAGATAACTCAATGAAGTTCTTACTTTGCACTGATCTAAATACATATTCCTCAGAAACCCCCCCCACACACACACACCGTGAACAAGGAGTTCAACTGGATTGTAGAATGTAATAACCACTACTGAGGAAACAGAATGATGCAACCAAGACAGACCTCTTCTCCAGCAGAGACACGGGGGCTGAGATATGTGGAAGGGAAGGGCTGTGGCTGAGAAGAATTCAATATAATCAAATGACCACAAGCAAGCCAGTGTAGCCAGAGCTAGTGAACAAGGTGCGGGGCATCAAAGAAGAAACTGGAGGAAGGCAGAGGATCGTGGGAAGAAACACAATTTGGTTTCAGAATCAGGCTGTGTTTGAAACTAAAACCACACTGTGAAACACACCAAAAGGAACCTGAAATTAGATCCCATGGCAAGATAGCATGCTATCACCTAGGGTGAGCTGTCTCCAGGTCTCATAGAACAATGGAGTCACTCTCTGCACCTCCCTGCCCCATCCTTAACCTACAGGAGTCTGCTTTCAATACAGATACTTTTAACAGTAATGTAAAAGCATGTTGCTTTCCTATCTGGGTCTGGAAAAAAACATTCAGAATCCTGACAAGGCTTCTGGAGTCCCGCGTGGTCTAGCCTTGACAGCCCAAACTCTGCCGTCTCCATCTGCCACAGCCATACGAATCTCCTTGCTGTTCTTAAACACAAAAGATGCTCCCACATTAAGACTTTTGCACTCCTTCCATCTGTGGCAGAAGCCCTTTCTCAGGAAAGCCACATGATGGCTGCCTTTGCCCAGCTGGTGCCACTATCTCGAGGAACATCCAGTTTCCTCCACACTCTTCCAACATTGCTACCTGATGCTCCTTCTTTTCAATAACACATATATTATATCTCCTAACATGTTCTATAATTACTACAACTGTCATTTCTGCTGTGCATTTTCTGTGTTCCCTTTGTGGTCTAGAATAAGCTACAGGAGGCAGAGATATTTGTCTGTCTGGGGAAGTGTGAGAATTATTCACCAAAATCTCTTTCCTTCTGACTGGAAGTCTATTTCCTGACTACTTGACTCTGGGTGAAATTGTGTTGTTGCTTTGGCCAATAGAACATGAAAAAGAATAGATACCATATGGTCCCATACCCCATCAAATTTCCCTCTCCTTCTAATTTTTTTCCCCC